ACCCCCAGAGGGGATCTAGTGACTAATGTTCAGAACATACTAAAATTATGGAGAGAACACTTTTCCAGCCTGCTGAATGACAATGAAAACATAACACCAGGATTTTGTGAACCCGATTCCCCTATCGATGACGATTGGAGCAGACGTTCCATTGTCCCACCATGAAGCAGTTCGAATAGCAATTACACGACTGAAGGACTATAAAGTGGCGGGGGCCGATGGATTGCCGGCCGAGATAGTCACACACGGCGGCGAAGAACTGATAAGAAGCAGGCAGCTTTTTTGTACAATATGGTCTTACAAAAATATGCCCGACGATTGGAATTTAAGTGTGCTCTGACAAATCCACAAAAATTATTGAGACCCCAAAATCTGCGCCAACTAAGGTAGCAAACGCCTCAACATCGCATTGAATGTTCTTCCGAGAGTAGTGTGTGAAAGATTAAAGATATTCACCATGCGCCAAATTGTGGAAAAAACCCTTGATAAAAGAATCGACACAAACTGCTTTTGACAGCATGAAATGGAGCTGCCCCTATGCCGTTATGTCTTAATTTGATATCCCTGCAAAAACATGGCTGTGTAAACTGACGATGAGCAATAATAAAAGCTCCGTCAGGATCGAGAAGGAGCTCTCCGAACTGTTCGATACCAAACGAGGTTTCAGACAAGGCAATCCCTATCTTGAGACTTTTGTAATGTACACTTGGAGAAAATACTTCCGAGCTGAATAGAGGAGCTGCCACCTTCTTTGAGAGTGTACAGCTGCTGACGCACACCGATGATATCGATATCCTTGGTCTCAACACCCGTGTCGTTAGTTCTGCTTGCTTCAGAATGGATAAGGCAACGAAACAAATGGGTATGATAGTGAAGGAGTGCAAGAGCAGTCGTCTCACTCGCGACTAGGCTCCCACGTCACTGTTCACAGTCATAAATTTGAAGTCTTAGATAAAATCTTCCATCTTGGAACCACCAACAACGTCAGCATTGAAATTAAACGCAGAATAATTTTTGTTAACAGTTGCTACTTTAGACTGAGCAGACAATTGAGAAGTAAAGTCCGCTCTTGATAATATATGCTGCAGAGGCATGGACCAACATCTGATGAGTCGGCGTTACGAGTTTGCGGGAGAAAAGTTCTGCATAAAATTTATGATCCTTTGGGCATTGGAACGATGCACTGTACGAGATATACGACTACGTTGACATAGTTCAATTTGACCTTAAATGCAGTGCTATATCGCAGTATTACTAACCACTTAAATAGTATTCCAAAACAGACTATTTACGAGACCTCCCACGCCTTGTTAAGAGATAATAAAGAAAAACTTTCGATATTCGCAACTAACGCAAAATAAATGAAGGCAAAAATTCCACACAAAATTAAAATGTTTCTTGAATACTTGACTCATATTATCTACATAAAAAGGCGCATATTTTGCCAAAATGGAGATAAGACATTTGAGGAAGCGTCAAAAACTATCTGATGGCAATTAAGTGAGTCGGAAAACAAATATTGGTGCTTTGACTTGGGCAAAGAAGGTTATTTGCGCAAATTTAGCGCCAAATCATTAAAAAATACATAAATTTACGTATATGTATACTTATGAGCGTCGTAAGTGTACACTTTCGGAATTATGATTCTACAAAAAAAGAGCTACGGACAGATTTAAAATTAGTACCACTCTAAATATGTCACAGCTGCTTAAGCGCTCACACTCACGGGCCGCACACATTTTTTTATGCATGAATATGTAAAATTATGCACGGGTTTTTTAAAGTCCAACGAACAGTTGCGAGAAAAATAATGCGGACAAGAGCTGGTGTAGACGAACTTTACCGCGCCGCTCAAAATCTTGCAATTTTTATATGTAACAATATATATATGTATATATAAATGAATATATATGTATATGACTTTCTGTATGTACTTGCCACGCGGCCGGCAAGTTGCCGTTCTGACTGAGTACTCGCACTGCTCGTACTACTCGCTGTTATTGCAGAAACTTGCGACATAAATTTTTTTACACATATAGCAGTCGGCAGCAACAGTTAACAAGTGCAATGCGCAACAATTGCTACAGACAGACGGAAAATTAGATGCCTAGTACAAGTAGCTGCATGTTGGCAGACAAGGCGCGTGTGCAAGGGAAGTGGCCGGAGGCGAGAGAAGTCGCTTGGTTGGCTGTGAAATGCAGAAAAGTATGAGTAAATATGTATTTAAAGAAAAAAACTGTATGTATGTAGAGTACTGCATTTGGCCCAGTTACCGCAAAGCGAACAGGAATTCACAATTTTGCCATTTTGCTGTTGTCAAGGTGTGTGTGTGTGTGTGTGTGTGAGCAAAGTTATGCGGCTCGAAGTGATGGACCGTGGCAGCGTCAAAGGGAAGGTGCACAACAATATATATTTTATGAAGTGCATAAATACTCGCAAAAGTGCAACAAGCAGTCGCTGTAGCACCAACTGCCAACAGCCTACAGTCACTAGCAGCAGTGGCGGTGGCAGCGGCAGCAGCAGCAACAAGTCAGCAACAGCCAAGTCAAATTAGTTTAGTTCAAAGCTACAAATGCGCACGGAGCAATTAACATAGAAATTATAACCGTAGAAATGGTTTGAGTTTGGTGCAAGTACCGTTAGGAACATTTAGAAAGAGGGCTCTGATATTGTAATGTTTCTTAATCGTCAGCAGAAAGCTACTGAGCATAGCTTGAGTTTAGACGAGACGGTTCTGGAAGATCCATGAAACAACTGTGAAAATTTCACAGTTTACGAATTGTTGGAAAAGTGCTCAGACCTCAATATGTTATTTTTGTCTTTGTGGTTAAAATAAACCCCCGATTATATTAAGAAATATTGCCGAATATACATAAGCCCGGGTCCGATGTGGTCAAGACAAGACAGTACGGCTAACGGAACTCAACCACTTATCATCTATCATCGGGTCATCGGACGAGAATTTAATTTTGAAACGTGGCTGAAAGAGCCAGACTTTTTTATTCAAAATTAAATCGAACGAAGAAAATAGAAAGACGAACAAACACAGCTGATGGTTCGTCGTTTTTCTGTGAGGTCGATAATATTTATGCGCCTTTCTTGTCTTTCGACATAGTTTTTTCGGAGTGATAGTCAGCTTCACTTCGCCGACGAGGTAGTTAAATAGTCCCAAAAGTGTTCTGTCATTAGAAGTGAGCCCCATCCATTTCTGGCACAATGTTTATGTAAACTAGCAAATTTAACGAGCTTAAGACGAAAAGCTACCCGAGGACATTCAAGAGTTGCCATTGCATCCAGAAAATGAAAAAACAACGGTTTGAGTGATTTGTGGTCCGGTTTAATCAACGGTCTATATTTCTTGAAAAATTAAGCCGGTGACAACGTAACCGTGAATGACAATCATTATCGCGCCATGATAACCGATCAAATATGATGTTTGAAATTGAAGCTTGTGATCACGGAGACATTTGGTTTGAATAAGAGAGCGCCACTTCCCACACATCGTATCAATCAATGGATTTATTGAGAAAACACTTAGCTGAGTAGATAATTTCATGTTTTGGGTCGATCGATTGGCTACCAATATCACTTTTTCCTGTGGGGATATAAGCCTAAAGTCTATGTGGGCAATCCCACTTCGATTTAGGCCTTGAAGTAAAACATCACGCATGTCATTCGCCAGTTACCAGTCGAAATGCTCGAAGGATCAGAGGTTGCACTCAGCGGATAGACCATTTGAGACGTAGCCGTGGCCAACATAAATAACAAACATTCCCAATTAAATTTGAAGTTTCTGAAAGTAGGAAACCTCGAAATGGATCATGTTATACAAACTAAGGAAATATTGTCATAGCAGTATTTCTGGCGCAAACGAAAAATCTGTCAGAGCAAACTATCCCCCTTGAGAAATCACTCCGTTTTCAATACAAGGAAGTACTTATGTCTGTCAGGAGGGCCAGAAAATCGCTTTGAAGTGCTTAATTTACCAACAGGGATGATTTAATAAAGACAAATATATGTTTATAAATATTATATACTATATATAAATATCTACAGCTTACAGTAGAATTGGAATTGCAGAAGTAGCACAAAAGCCAACAAACAGACTATTAGTCGAATCATCTAAAAGAGGTGGGTGGGGTGGTATAAGGCGGGGCTAGGACCGTACGTTTCCCCAATATTTGTTGTTGTCTTCATCTACAGAGATAACACGGAAGCGCAACTGCGTGTGAAGCAAATATTGCTGAAGTGTGTTATAATAAAAATGTAAAAATATGAAAGAGGAGGAAAATAATTAAAAGAGCAGAAATAAAAAGCAGCAGCCCCTGCAAATAACGGCCAATTCATTAGCTGCTGGTGTTCGCTGGCGCGAGGGGATTGACGATTAAATCCCACTGCGCTGATGAAATACACAAATTGTGTCGTATGAATATGTGGCGTGGCGTGTGGAAGCAGTCACCCAGTCAGTGGCAGCAAATGAGCAAACAAGCGAGCAGGTGAGCTCGTGAGCCGGTAAACCGGCGAGGCGCTCACTCAAACGCTAATTTCAATTGCACGCGCACAAATTAAATTTATTTTACAATTTCTTCCGTTTTTTGCTACATCTTTCTTTCGCTTCGACTTGTGACTTGAACGTGTGGCGCATGCCGGCGTATAACCGTAAATGAGCGCAAACGGTAGGAAGTGTCAAAAATATAATTGTTTCATCTCTGCCGCGGTGCTCGCATTCGCTATGCGAACAATTTAATTTCCTGTGAGACAATTGGAAGAAAATGTGGTTGAACATCGGTGGCGAAAACGTACAAAATCATTGAGGAAGTATATTAACGAAGAGCACTACTTCACCGATTAACGGATTGATAAAGACGATTCGCTGAAGATGCGAAGAAGAAATTATAGATTTTTGACTTTTTATGCAGATTTTTTTACGAATGTCATTTTAAACAGTTCTTGTTGCATATAGTCTAAAATAAATATTTTTAACCACAATAACATCATACCCGATCAGCCACATAAGACGAGCTTATGAATTCGAAATATGTTGGTGGAAATTCAAAATCATCCATAAATGTTTACCTGAAATAAAAGAAAAAAAAAGTTTATTATTCAAAGCAAATAAAAATAAAAGTTATACAAATTAACAAATATTCTAATATTAAAAAAAAAAAATTTTAAATTTAAGAAATAATGCTCGACACAATCTGATCGCTTTCCCTCTCTCATGCACTCGTGCTACAGCTACACAGCTATTGTTAGACCAATTCTGCTCTACGCTGCAGTAGTATGGTGGACAGGCGTACGGAAATCTACCTGCAGGAAGGCAATTGAAAGGGTTCAGTGGCTCTTGAACTGAGACTAAACCTGCTACCTATCTGGCGAAGAGGTCTCGCTGAAAACTGCGCAGCAAAATCGGCGGGATGACTACTGGCTGCAAGAGACGGCGGTATAGCAAAATCCGACTGCATGATCCCACTTTTCGACTGGGAAAGAAGTTTCAAAATAAACAAAGAAATATATGGTTGGCGTAAAGTTATGTTAGCTGCGCGCAACACTCTAAACATTTATACGAATGGCTCGAAAATGGAGGATGGCGTCTTTTAAGTTGCATAATCACTGCATTATATTTCAAGCTGAAGTCTTTGCTGTTGCGAAAGCTGCGACGCTGGCCTCTAATGTACCTGCAGGCAATTCCAGAGGCAACATCTACGTAAGTAGCCAATGGGTCATCAAGACAGTATCGCATATCAGCCAAGACTGTCCTAAGAAGCAGGGCAGCAGTGGAAAGTGTTGCCAGAAGCAAGCGACGATCTGGACAGAAGCATGGTAAAGAAAATCAAAACCACAGTGCAAAACTGGAAAAGTGATATGCAAAACGGTAGATCGGAAGTATAAAAAAATCCTGTTGAAACTCGGTATTAGAAACGATAGGAACTTGATCGAAATACTAACCCGTCACTGTCTGGTGACGACACACGGCCAGCAGAATGGAGCTGACCGATCGATAAGACTGCAGGGAATGTCTAGAGTAACGCACCAGAGAAACAATGGAGCATCTTTTGTGCACTTGTCCTGCACTGGCAAGGCCACGTTGTAAGCATGCCCACGGTATGATACACTGGATATCGAGGTATTGATAGTGATGTCACAGAGTCTGTTGAAATTCGCGTCGAGCATAGGCATCCTAAAGGGTGACTAGTACTTCTCATGAACATATTAACTGAACTCCATCTGAAATCGCCAAGGGTCAAAACTGGCTCATTGGCATACCAGACTAATCTAACCTAATAAATATCTAATTTTATTTTCTACATGACTGTATAATTTTCAAAAGGGCATCAATATTAAGGTAAAATACTGTTTATAATAAGAATAATGTATTTAAAGTGTCTGTGTTTCAATGCGGAGCGATAAATGCCTTCGATTATCACAAGTTTTTGTTATAAGAAAGTTGGAAAAGGAGACAGATTTAATTTTCATGACGTGTTTTCTCGAAGAAAAGTTTCGACGGGGGTCGACGCTCAGGGTTGTTTGAAAAGTAATTGAATTTGTTGACGATAACTTTCTCTTTCAATGGAGGACGTCAAAAATTGGTTGAAGGAGTTTCAAAGTTCCTACGTGTCGGAGGAGGGAGTCATGTGTAGAAGTTCACGCAAGTGAGGAAAGTTTTCTGATCGCCATTCACTTGGGAGTGGCCAGAAACGATTCTTTTACATATGACTCAAGCAGCTCACGACTTCCGGTCCTTGACCAAGTATCCTCTGGGTAGCCTAAGAACATCCGTTTGAAGCTGAGCTAAAGTGAGAAGGCGAAACATTCCCTGCATAGGGTTGTGTGCTGGGTTTGGGACCCGCCACGTAAAAAAACCACCCCAATGACAACGCAACGAAAAATCTATCGGTGCGGTGGGTGCCACGTTTGCTCACTTCACTCCACGTTTGCACATGCAGTGGAGTTTATCTTATATAAATTTTCCGTACAGTTGTTATGAGTTTCGGCGGGGATGATCCTCAATGTCTTCAGTGGATTTCGATTTCGCTTCTTACTGAAGCTCCTATTGTTATGTTGTCGAACAATTTCAACGCCATACTGTTGGATGAATGTAAAGTTCTTAGCTAATCGTCAAGTTATTCTTATCCGCTTTCTACTTAACGTCGTTTTAGCAAGAGATTGAGGTCTTTTGGTACGAGATTAGTAATGACAAGCATCATACCCAAAACATTGATCAAAATGTATGTAAAGTCAATATATGTACAAGTTGAGATCCTCTGTTTTCGCTTTGATTACAACACGATGATTTTTAGGCGCTGTTTCTTCGAGCTTAACTACCAATACACACAAACGTATTTAAGGATATTACACCTCTCACCAAAACATAAAGAGTTTGTTGTCTCAAATTGATGAAAAGGTTGTATCGATTCCGTTTCCGCACGGAATTTAAATGGACTAGAGAGTGGCTCAAATATGATCAGATGGGAAACCGCCATTTCTCCAGTTCCAAATTGCGAGGTATTCCTAAATTTCTACAAATTAAGGATTAATTAATTCTTTGAAATAAGAATTCTTGTCAGCGATTGAACATGCATTTAACGAATGCTGTCACAGCGAGACAAGACAACATTGCTTAATCGCCAATTAAAATGCGCTAGTAATTGTTGACAAGACATTGCATTACGCGCGTAATTATTGAGAGCGTAAAACTTAGCAAACTTATACAAGAAAAGCATAACATAACACAACATGACACGACATAACATAGCACGGCATAGCAAAGCAAGTAAAAATTATTATTTCTTCATATCAAGCCGTCAAATTGCAATGCAGAAATGTCAACAATGCAAGTGACCACAATTATGGAAGAAACTAAATGCATAACAAATATGTATAAAAGTGTGAGTATGTGTTTTGAGACAAACCGACATATTCATAACTGACATGCCATGAAAATCGAACGCGATCTCGCGACTGAGGCTGGTTATGCGACAGATGAAATAAAGAAAGCTTTACAATTTTGAGAAGTTAAAAAAAGCTGTCGGCAGTTTCAACATTTTTCTTTACATACATATATACATATGTAGATATATATGTACATACATATGTATGTGTGTGCGTTACTGCGAAGAAAATCCGATTTCTATTCATTAGTGCGATCTGCAGCCAAAGCGTTAATCGCTGAACAACAAACTAGCAACACAAAGTTGAGACGCACGCGCACGCACACGCAGACAGCGAAAAGTCACATTTGTAAGCCTACATTGTAAGAAGTGGTGAATGAACCACCTAACCCCGAGAGGGGCTACTGGCGATGAAAGGCAAAGCACGCAACACGGCGGCTGTAGTTTGCCATGACATACCGTTATTTTGACGAAAAACTTTGTTTGTTTACTTCGTTTCACTTAGTTTGCTACTTTTTTTGTGTTTACTTTTGTATTTACAACTATTCATTTTCATGTCGACAGCATTAGTGGCCGACCAAAAACAAAAAAAAAACCAAGTCAAAAGGGCTGAGTGAGCAGGTAAAGGTCGCAGAACTCTAAACAACGAGATTTACAATACAAGCAAACAGACATAGATATATATTCGATGAAAATAAAGCAACAGCCGGACCGTCGATGAAGGCAATAGCAACCAACAAATTCAATGCCCATAAAAGCCAACAAAAGCTCAGCATATCTAGCCAGTGTGGCAAGCAGCGGCGTAAAAAGGCCAATTACTAGCGGAAAATAGAAAAAAAACCAAAAACTAAACTGCAGCCACAAAAACAGGAAAGAATGCTTGAATTTGTTTGGCTCTGCACATTCCGATTGGGTTCACAACGACAAATATAGCCACAGTGTGCCTGCAGCAACCTGGTAGTGGAACAGCAGACCCTGAGCAGAGGCGATAACCAAACCAGTAACCCACTGAACGCGCGACCAGACCAATGCTTGTTAATCGAAATGCCACTATCAATATATACATACATACATTTCTATGTACGATATCTCCCTATATACATACGTATATACATATGTATATACAAGTTTTACTGGCACATAATGCAGCTTGGCAATGCCGCTACTAAGAAGCTTAAACTGGTTTCTCTATTCGCCACTCTTTTTTTTGCATATTTATTGTTTTCTATTTTATTTTTAGCTAATTTGCTGTTATGTCGGCATTCGTCACAATCAATCCCTCTATTTATTCTTTCATTTCCTATGTAAATCTGATTGGGCTTATTTATCTCGACCATAAAGCTCGAAAGCATGTTGGGTAGTAATAAAAGAAATTCGTGTGGGTTTACGGAAAATTCGCAAAGGTTTTTTTATATAAGTGGGTGTGACTAGATAATCGTACCACTGGAATGAATCCATGGAACCGTACCTCTGAAAATGGAAAAATTATCTTTAAGGAAACTTAGGTTAAGTTATATTAAATGACTGATCACACAGCATGGCGGGGCGACCACACTTAAGACTCTTACGTTCAGTCCCTTGTGAAGGCAGATGAAAAACTCCTCTAGTTGGATATTAGTTATCGGCAAAACGCCCTAAAACACACAAAAATATGTTTATTCTATTTTCGCTATTTCACTTGGACGTCTAAAACTATGAGATCCGAGGTGTTTTTGCTTTGATCAGGCAAATGCGGAACATTCGTGGAGAAAGTGTTGAGATGATTGATGATTTGATGAACCGGGCGTCCAGTAAGTTGTCCAAATTTCTATCGTCAATCCCAATCGGACAATGTCCTGTTACTCATGAACTTTTACAATCATTGAAAAATGATCACGTCCCTTCCTCAGACCTCTTGCGATTTACTCTGGACCAGAAGTACCATGCCACTGCACAACTGCTAGTATTTGACCAATGCTTCGTGAGCTGGTCTGAGACCGAACAGTCCAGTAACAAACCACAAGAAGCCAACGGAGCTACTACCAGTTCCAATTTCGGAGGTAATGAGACTGAAGCAAAAGGTATTCCAAGTAGACGTACTTTTTTCAACAGATTTTGACAGACCACGCATGAGTCGTGTCAAATTGTCATATTATATTTGTTCAGTATTGTTTGGCATTTTATCATGGAAAGACTTAGGCCTGA